TGGTGTGTGTGTTGTGTGTCTGTGTGTGTGGGTGTGTTGTGTGTTGTGTGTGTGTGTGTGTGTGTGTGTGTGTGTGTGTGTGTGTGTGTGTGTGTGTGTGTGTGTGTGTGTGTGTGTGTGTGTGTGTGTGTGTGTGTGTGTGTGTGTGTGTGTGTGTGTGTGTGTGTGTGTTGTGTTGTGTGTGTGTGTGTGTGTGTGTGTGTGTGTGTGTGTGTGTGTGTGTGTGTGTGTGTGTGTGTGTGTGTGTGTGTGTGTTGTGTGTGTGTGTGTGTGTGTGTGTGTGTGTGTGTGTGTGTGTGTGTGTGTGTGTGTGTGTGTGTGTGTGTGTGTGTGTGTGTGTGTGTGTGTGTGTGTGTGTGTGTGTGTGTGTGTGTGTGTGTGTGTGTGTGTGTGTGTGTGTGTGTGTGTGTGTGTGTGTGTGTGTGTGTGTGTGTGTGTGTGTGTGTGTGTGTGTGTGTGTGTGTGTGTGTGTGTGTGTGTGTGTGTGTGTGTGTGTGTGTGTGTGTGTTGTGTGTGTGTGTGTGTGTGTGTGTGTGTGTGTGTGTGTGTGTGTGTTGTGTGTGTGTGTGTGTGTGTGTGTGTGTGTGTGTGTGTGTGTGTGTGTGTGTGTTGTGTGTGTGTGTGTGTGTGTGTGTGTGTGTGTGTGTGTGTGTGTGTGTGTGTGTGTGTGTATGTGTGTGTGTGTGTGTGTGTGTGTGTGTGTGTGTGTGTGTGTGTGTAGGTGTGGAGTCAGAGTCTCGTGGACGCACACACAGTCAGGTTGGTCTGAAAACTTACTTTACACTAAACAGATGTTGTTTCCTCGTCAGAAACACACACGGACCTGGACTCGTGGTTTGTTTCTTTCACACGTTTGAGTCATTTTTGATCACGAGTCTGTCCACGTCTCCAAAGCTCCACATGTGTTCCACCTTGTGATGTCATGAAGTGGTAGTTTTCAAGTGAACAGCTCCTTTTACCTTTAGTACCTTTAGGCATTTCCAGCACTGAAATGATCCAATCTCTGTTCACTAAACTGGGCTGAAATACTTATTTGTTATTAATATCTGCTCTGGCTGGTTCTTTACATGTATGTGCTGTTATGATTTAGATCAGAGGTGTTCACACTTTTTCATCATGTGATCTACTTACAAAATGACCAAGTCAAAATGATCGACCTAATACAAAGCCAAACAAACTGCACTGAAACACTCTGTGCCCCTTTTTTTGGACCCTCCCCCACAGTTTGAGAACCTCTTCTTTAAGAGAACTTCCTCTGGCACTTTACACAAAACTGTGAAAAAGTGAAGGAAGATTTTTAAACCTGTTTTTTAAAGTTCCAAACTGGAGTTACATTCTTTTCTGGTTTTGCAGTGATATTTACCAGCCTCTGCACGTTTACCAAACCAAACGCACATCGTGACAAACACAGATGCATTTGTGCACTTTTGTTAGACAAACTTCAGCCAAATGTGGCAGTAGGTCTGTTCTGTAGATCCGCTCTATGCTGTAGACCTGCTTTGTGCCAACACTGGAACACAAATTTAGACTGGTTTTTGCTTCACGTTTGGTCTTGCTCTTCTAATCAGCCGCACTGTGGGAGGGGCTTGTGTTGGCTGTACGCAGGAAGGAGCGAGAGCGTGAAAAGGCGAGGGGCGGCGTGCTGACGTGAGGCAGGTGGACAGGTAGGATGTTTAGGAAGTTGAACCTGCCCTGTGATGCAGGCTGGTACACGAGGGCACACGCTGTCGCAGACGAGCCGTGCATAGGGAGCGTGTGTGTTTGTGATGCGCCGTAGAGTCTCCGCGGGTTTCAAATGAGCGCACAGGCTGCACTGAGACGCCCCACACGCTCCTGCACCCGCTACAAGTTTATTACCAACAGCAGCGGCCGGAATGAAATATGATCACACTTGTTGAGTGTCAGACCTCGAGTGAGAGACAAGACCGAGTACAAACACGAGTCCGAGACGAGACACGGCGATCTACCCACACGACCGTGGGGATCGACGTATTGAGCACCACTGATGCAGAGTGACACCCCTGATCTACAGACTCTACAAACTCACGTCACGCTGCCACGTGGCCGGGGGTAAAACTTTGGGAACTTTTTGGGGACAAGTAAAGTTGCTCAGGACGATTACGGTGAAGGTGGTGGACTCCGATGAACTGCTCTTTATTGTTTGTTACAATTGGATCTGGGGTTTGGGATTTGGGTTTGGGTTTTGAGGAGTGGTTGCGTAAAGCCAATAAAAGTCAGATAGGCCAAAAGCACTTTATTTCTACGTGTCTTCGTTTCACCCCGCTGATGTGAACAGATCCTCCCGCGTCCTTAAGTTTGTGTTGTAGCTTTTCATTTGCCAAGAACAGGTGAATTATTACAAGCTAGGGCCCCCAAACCAGTGCCACTAACGGCCTAAGGTCTCAGAGAAATTTGATTTTCTCTCAGTATGACATTAAACGAGAGTAGTTTTACTTTTAATCTATAACCATAAGAAAAATAATCATAATCATAACAAATGGATAAACAAAAATGTAACTGTACCAGCAAAAAAATAAATAAAACTACTTTCAGTTCTGGTTTTCTAGTCAGCGACCGAACTAATAAGACAAGTTTCCAATCCACCAGAATTCAAATAAATAGAAATGTGCATGTCTCAAAAACAATGGGAAAAAACAATAAATATATATATATATATATATATATATATATATATATATATAAAAAAACAACAACAGAAAAACTGCATTATAGTGAGGGCCCCAAACTCAACTTCGCCTAGGGCCCTTAAATGACTAACTCCGCCACTGAGTGAAGGTGTGCGGAGTTTAAAAACACAGTGGAGCACTTCCTGTATTACCACATGATGACATCACAAGTTGGAACAGAGTGTTTTCGGTTTGAGAGAAGACCTGTAGAGTCTAAATGTGCAGGATTTGTGTGTGAATAAACCAGAACACAGCTCCAGGTCTGTTTGTGACGAGGAAACGACGTTAGAACAGAAATCAGAAAACGGCGTCATACGGGACTTTTAACGGTCATGTTTTGTGTTTGTGCAGCCGCTGGCGAGCCCCCTGGAGCACAGAGCCGACTCGTACGTGGCGCTACCTCAGGGCGACCTCCTGCCTCCCTGCAAACTGCACCACGTCACCGAGAAAGTGACTCAGGTGAGTTGGAGTCACACTTCACTTCCGTGCTTCTCGAACAGCGGGGAATGTGTGGGACCTCGGGGAACGTGTTTTTTTTTTTCTTTTTGGCCGTACAAGAATAAATCCGTCCGTCACAGGAGTTGGCAGGAGAGTTGTCGGGATGTTTGCACACAGCAGGAGACATGACATGCAGAGAACAAACCCTCAAGAGACACACGGAAAAATATTTAACAGGGGTGAAAAGAAAAGCAGAGAAAGACGGAGATAAACAAACAAACAAACGACGACGAGGAAATATGACGAAGTGTCTATGTCGTCGCGCTCGACTTCACTGCGACGGAAAACGAGGAAAGACCGATGTGTTTACTGCGTCTAAAAATGTTGGCAGAGGACAACACGAAGACAAATAAATAAAAAACGACATTAGAGCACCAATCATGCTGATAAAACAGGACAAATATCACCAAGAATCATCCCACTTTGTGAACAGAAATGATGCTGTTTGTAGTTGCGTCAGAGCGCGGAGGAGCGAGATGTTTTCTTCTTCCTCGGTGTTGTAGACGTTTTCAGCTTGTCCATGAAAGAGTGGAAGTAAAAGGCTGGAGACCGACTGGACGTCTTACACAGGAGAAGTTTATTTACCGTCAATAATGTGGCCAGGGGGATTGAAAAGTGAACATAGTGTGATTTAAAGTGAACATAGTGTGATTTAAAGTGAACATAGTGTGATTTAAAGTGAACATAGTGTGATTTAAAGTGAACATAGTGTGATTTAAAGTGAACATAGTGTGATTTAAAGTGAACATAGTGTGATCTTTGAGTGTTCAAGCCCCTTGACGATGATTCCAAAGGAGGAAGTTTATAAAGTGATTGTGGTGAGATTATGGCTACGTTTACACATAAAAACAGTGAGAAACTAATATTTCCCTCCCTCCGTTTTCCAAAATAACATCGTGCTCACAGCATCGTTTTCAAAAAAGTTTTCGTTTACATCGACCTGCATAAATTGTCCATCGAGCTCCGTCAGAACCACACTGAGCCTCTGGGACTCTTAGACTTAAACCTGTAGTTTTTATTTCATTACAGTTTTAAGTTTTACTCACAGATCTGTTTAAAATGGTGCATTAGTGAGCGGCTCGCCTCTCCACAGATCTGTGAAAGCCTCATTGATCTCTGGTCATGGATCTGATCCATCAGCTGTGTGCAAATGAAACACATGAAAAGTGTTTCAGCAGAAGAAATGTGACTAATGCTCTGATTCTTCATTGTCATCATCGTCAACATTGTCATTGTCGTCATCATCATCGTCCTCATCGTTGTAGTCATCGTCATCATCGTCGTCATCGTCATTTTCATCAACATCGTACTCATCGTCGTCGTCATCGTCATCATCAACGTCAACTTCATCGTCGTCGTCGTCATCGTCATCGTCATCATCATCGTCATCATCGTCGTCGTCGTCATCATCATCGTCGTCGTCATCATCATCAACATCCTCAACATTGTCGTCATCGTCATCATCGTTGTCGTCATCATCAACATCATCATCATCGTCCTCATCGTCCTCATCGTCGTCCTCATCATCCTCATCGTTGTCGTCATCGTCATCAACATCCTCAACATCGTCCTCATCGTCGTCATCATCAGACATCCTCAACATCGTCCTCATCATCGTCATTGTCATCATCAACATCCTCAACATCGTCCTCATCATCGTCGTCATCATCGTCATCATCATCAACATCCTCAACATCGTCCTCATCATCGTCATCGTCATCATCATCATTCAACATCCTCAACATCCTCATCATCGTCGTCATCATCGTCATCATCAACATCCTCAACATCGTCCTCATCATCGTCATCATCATCATCAACATCCTCAACATCGTCCTCATCATCGTCATCATCAACATCCTCAACATCATCATCATCATCATCCTCATCATCATCATCATCAACATCCTCAACATCGTCCTCGTCATCGTCATCGTCGTCATCATCATCAACATCCTCAACATCATCATCATCAACATCCTCAACATCGTCATCGTCATCATCATCAACATCCTCAACATCGTCCTCGTCATCGTCATCATCATCATCAACATCCTCAACATCGTCATCGTCATCGTCATCGTCATCATCATCAACATCCTCAACATCGTCCTCATCATCGTCATCGTCATCATCAACATCCTCAACATCGTCCTCATCATCGTCATCGTCATCATCAACATCCTCAACATCGTCCTCATCATCATCATCATCAACATCCTCAACATCCTCAACATCGTCTCTCATCATCGTCATCGTTGTCGTCATCATCATCAACATCCTCAACATCATCATCATCAACATCCTCATCATCGTCCTCATCATCATCATCATCAACATCCTCAACATCGTCCTCATCATCGTCGTCATCGTCGTCGTCGTCATCATCATCAACATCCTCAACATCGTCCTCATCGTCGTCATCGTTGTCGTCATCATCATCAACATCCTCAACATCGTCCTCATCGTCGTCGTCGTCGTCATCATCATCAACATCCTCAACATCGTCCTCATCCTCGTCCTCATCGTCGTCCTCATCGTCGTCGTCGTTGTCATCGTCATCAACATCATCCTCGTCGTCATTGTCGTCATCCTCAACATCATCTCCATCATAATCATCATCATCATCGTCAGAGCAAAAGGGAAACATTGGTCGCACTTTTGGCGTCGGCTCCTACAACTCTGTTTATGTCACTTTACACACAAACACCAGACCAGAGTTTTACAGTTTCTTCACTCTACCTCGAGTTTTTAGAAAGATCCTTTTTCCGAGGTGAATTTGCCGTTTGTGTATAAAAGACGGAAACAAACGAAGGGAAATCTCTCTGTTTTTAAAAACTACTCATGTACGTATGAAGGCCTGTGAGCGCCCGTTAGACGACAACATGCCACAGTTTAGATGAAGAGAAGATCGTGGTGTAAATAAAACTCTGAGTCTGTGTTAAACTGAGACGCACGAGGAGGATAAATGACTTTAATTCTCATGTGTGGGGAAGTATTTTACGATTACAGTGTTTTTATAAGCAATCGAGTCCAGGATGATAAATAAGAGAACACACATACACATACACACACACACACACACACACACACACACACATACACACACACACACACACACACATACACACACACACACACATACACACACACATACACACACACACACACACACACAGGTGGAAGGTGTTGAGGAGACTTTGATAAATGTTTGTTTTCCGGATCATGAAGTTTCACAAATGTTCTTCTGAGGATCAGGGCTGTTCGTTTGTTCGTCTTTACAGGTTTAAATCTGTTTAAACAGAAAACTCCAAATGTAACAGTGGAAAACTTTTCACTGTGGCTCAGATCATCGACAAAACAATACAGGAACTGAACCAGGACTAATCAAGGTCTAAACCAGGTCTAAACCAGGTCTAAATCAGGACTAAACAGGTGTGTATGTGTGTGGATGGTGAGTCCTCACAGAGCTGTGCACAGAGGGATGAAGGACGAGGGACACGAGGAGAACATGACAAATGAGGGACCACATGCTGCGTTCAGAGGACCTAAAAATAAACCAGGACTAAATCAGCACTAAACCAGGTCTAAACGAGGACTAATCCAGGTCTAAGCCAGGACTAAACTAGGACTGAACCAGAACTAAATAAGGTGTAAACTAAGACTTGAAAGACCAGAAGCTACGTTCAGAGACCCTGAATATAAACCAGGATTAAACCAGGACTAAACCAGGACTAATCGGGACTAAACCAGGAAAAAAAAACAGGTCTACATCTGGTATAAACCAGGTCTATCCCAGGACTAAACCAGGTCAAACTATCTAAACTACCTAAATTAGGACTAAGCCAGAACTAAATAAAGTCCAAACTAGAACTTGAAAGACCAGAAGCTGTGTTCAAAGACCCTGAATATAAACCAGGTCTAAACCAGGACTAAACTTGATGTAAATTATGACTAAAATGTTAGATGAACTAGAGACATTTGTTCTGCTCCAGCTCATTTAAACACTACAGGGACAGGAGCGCACCTGACACACACGGGGAGGACACCTGGGGAGGACACCTGACACACACGGGGAGGACACCTGACACACACGGGACACCTGGGGGAGGACACCTGACACACACGGGGAGGACACCTGACACACACGGGAGGACACCTGACACACACGGCTGACACACACACGGGGAGGACACCTGGAGGACACCTGACACACATGACACACACGGGGAGGACACCTGACACACACGGGGAGGAGGACACCTGACACACACGGGGAGGAGGACACCTGACACACATGACACACACGGGGAGATGACACACAGTGTGACACACATGACACACTGACGTGACACACTTGACACACACGGTGACACCTGAGGCTGACACACACGGGGATTGACACACACGTGACACACTGACACACTTGACACACTGGAAGGTGACTCGTGGCTGTTGCCCCTTTTAGCTCAGGGGGAGGAGAGAGGGATGAGGGATGGAGGGATGAGGGGAGGACGGAGGAGAGAGGGGAGAAGGAGAGATGGAGAGATGGAGGAGGTGAAGGTGGAGCAGGTTATTTCAGTGTGTAATTAGTCGTAGCCCCAGATGTGAAGCCCGGAGCACAGAAGAACCTAAAATACCCGACCGTTTTCCCGTCACGTCGGCTCCGTCTTTATGTCGTTTATTTTTATTTTTGTTTTTCTTTGGGTTCGTTTTTGTGACAACGAAAGGACAAAAATGTTCCGTAATATTTAAAAGATAAAGGTGAAGATCGAATTTAAACCAGAGAATTTAAACCAGAGGAAAGAGACAAAAAATAACTGGATTTTTATCAGGATTCTTCAAACGTGGAGGAACATGACAAATGACTGACCAGAAGCTCTGCTCAGAGGAGCTAAAAATAAACCAGGACTAAACCAGGACTAAACCAGGACTAAACCAGGACTGAACCAGGACTAAAC